CCTCAGGATGAACGGAGAAGTGGTGCCTCGATGCGCACCCGGGATCCGAACCCGGGCCGCCAGCATCGCAGCGCGCGCACTTAACCACCAAGCCATAGGGCCGGCCCTGTAATTCATTTCTTTTCTATCTCTTTTCCCTCTTTAGTGAGCCTGGCTCTATTTTGAAGCCCAACAGGAATTTGGGCTCCAAAGCTGTCTATCAGTCTTGTCCTTCTCCAGCAACACTCTAAATCTGATTTCAGTCCACAAACAGCTGGATGTGGGGGTTCTCATTTGATCAGGCCCATATCTACTGCCAGGAAGTGGCAGCTTTTTAACTTTTATTTTTTGATTGAGGTGTGAGAAAACCACATTGCCATGGAGATAGGATTGGGTTGATGGTTTATGAAGTTCCTTCCAGCACCTGCTCCTTGTTAATTTCAAAGGCCAGTAGGCTCCAGCTGGCTAAAAACAAAATGTAAGCTAAAAACAAAATGTAAGCTAAAAGTATTTTTTAAGGTTTAGCATTTTATCAACTGCTCTTAGCTGTTGTTGATACAGTTGTATATAGATACTTGTATCTGGAAGCTTTTCAATGACAGGGCAAGATCTTGTGAGTGAAAGTACATAAATGACCCCTACTGAGCTGGGCCAAGAGGCAGCATATATGAAGCCGTTTCAGATAGCCTTGAACTAAGTTATCAACAAACTGCTAGCCAACTCACAGGTTGATTTCAGCAATTTCTTAGCAAGGCCCCTCAAAAACCTTAAGCTTCATCCATATTCAAAATATTTATGGCCTCATTTTAACATCAGATAGTGGACTATATTAAGGAAACGATGGGCCGGCCCTGTGGCTTGGTGGTTAAGTGCGCGCACTGCAATGCTGTTGGCCCAGGTTCGGATCCCGGGTGCGCATTGAGGCACCACTTCTCCGTCCATCCTGAGGCCGAGTCCCACATACAGCAACTAGAAGGATGTGCAGCTATGACATACAACTATCTACTGGGGCTTTGGGGGGAAAAAATAAAATAAATAAAATCTAAAAAAAAAAAAAAGGAAACGAGCTCTGCCCAGCTCGGCCCCTGAGTACTGAGAGGGTTAGGCTAGATAAATAGTTTTCAAACTTTTTCCTTTTTTGCTATAAAACCTTTTCTTCAAATGTATTCTGACAAAGAAGCTCTCTATATAAGACGTGAAAGCAGGAGTTTGCTGGTACATTTATTTCAATAAGGATTTTTTGAGTTGTTTTCTTCATAACAGGCACTGAGGACACAATAGTGGCTTTTGGTAGAAGAGGACTGAATGAATGATGATAAAAATGTATTTCTTTCACCTCCCTCAAGAAAAAATGACAGATACCACAAAAATTGTAAACTCATTTAGTGCCAGTGTGTAATTCTAGTTGTGATTGTTAGCCTTCTGACTTGGGCCTTGGCTTTTGGCTCCTGACTTAGTCCTAGGCTGAAAGGTGGACTCAGGTACAGCTAGGAAGTTTTCTGATTCAAATCATCATTGGGTTCAAATGATTCATTATCCCTCTGGAAGGCAGCACCAGCAGAGAAGCTACAGTTACACTTTAAAACTGAGCTTTAGTGCTGGTTTTACCTTAACAGCACACTGCACAGCCAAGAAAAATTAGTAGGAGTTGAGCAAAAAATGCAGACCAAATAACTCTAGGAGAAGGCCCGAAGCAGCTCCTAAGGAAAGCTGCAATAAAGTGACAGGAATTTGTTTCTTCCTCTTTGACATTACATGAGTCCAAGAGGAGATGTTCTGCTGCTGGTCTCACTAGCCAGATTATCCTTCAGCTCCAGGCTTTTGACAGGATGTGACTGGTTCATGTCCCAGGATCTTAAAAGAGCTACAGTTTGAAGCCAGAATGAATGGCCACGATGCCTGATGTTAGACTTTCATAAGTCACCTTCTGAAAACCTGCATCTTCTATCATCTCCTTGAACTCCTCCTAAAACACAAAGATACAGCAAGGATCACCTGGATTTCAGCTTAAGGGCCTTTGTTGTAAGCTATAGAAATTTTGTACCTGAGACGGGAACTGTCGGATACTCTCTACAAGGTATTGGTAAGACTTCCAGTCTCCTGCAATGACCTCTCCCAGGACAGGAATGACCTGGAAGCTATACAGATCATAAAGCCTAAACAAAAAGGCAAAAGATTAATATTAGAACATGGCTCTTGATAAGAAGCAAGGGCTAAGCTTGGGGTCATAAACTCAAATGCCTATAGGGGTCAAGCAAGTACCTGAAATAAGTGAAGCGGGCCAGGCGCAAGACCAATAGAGAGTGGTAAGGATGTGGTGACAGGTACAGTTAGGAAGTACCATAAAAGTGGAGAAGGGGAGGATGGGCATGGATGTTAGTTCAGGGCCAATCTTCCTCACCAAAGGAAAAAAAAAAGTGGAGAAGGGACAGTTACTACTCAGCTCTGACTATTGCCATGTGGGAATATCAGCTTACCCAGGGTTGCCATACATCTGATTCCTCAAGTGAAACTGGAAATCCATATTTTTATGTAAAATTTCCTGATTTTTAGATATGGACATCTATGTCAATTTCTTAAACTACCATGAGTCAAACAAAATACACACGTGGGCCAACTTAGCCTCTGGTTACTGGTTTGAGACTCTTCAGACCTAAGTGTTGTCATTCAGAATTGGCTGACACCTGAGGTAGCACTGTCTCTTGGGAACTCTGGGCCTCTAAACTATGAGGTTCATGCTTATAGCTTACTGGCTATTTTCTATCCATTTTGGGAAACCCTTGGCTAGACAATGAGAATAAACCCTGTTAACAATGCCAACCTGGATATGAGGGGATTGTTCACTTGGCTAAACTCCAGACAGAGAAACCGTCCTCCTGGTTTCAGGACCCGATGAGCTTCCTGGAGTGCCTGAGCAAGACAACAACAAACACACTCCTCAGCAGACCTCACTCAATTCTGTGAGGCCAAGACAGCTTTAGCTTCTGTGGGCCTTATAAAAATTATCATTTCGCATACGGCCCTTGTTCATTTTCAGTTGGGAAGCTTTAACAGTAGAAATAACTCTACAATATCCTAAATATTTTAAGCATTCTGTTGCCCATGAAGAGAAGGCTACTTGGAGTAATCTAAACTGATTCAGATTGGTACAACGCCCATGGTGGGCAATTTTAGAATTACGTATTGAAATCACAATGGATATCTTCTTTGATCCAGCAATTTTACTTCAAGGAATCCATCTTACAGAAATACTTCTACTGTGGAAATGATATGTATATGGGTTATTCACTGCAGCACTATTTGAACAACACAAGATTAGAAGCATCTTAACTATTAATGAGAGATGGTTAAATTATGGAATATATCTATACAAATGGAATCTATGCACCTATTTGAAAAAGGAAGAGGGGCTGGACCCATGGCGTAGCGGTTAAGTGCACGCGCTCCGCTGCTGGTGGCCCAGGTTCAGATCCCGGGCGCGCACCAACGTACTGCTTGTCAGGCCATGCTGTGGCGGTGTCCCATATAAAGTGGAGGAAGATGGGCACAGATGTTAGCCCAGGGCCAGTCTTCCTCAGCAAAAAAGAGGAGGATTGGCATGGATGTTAGCTCAGGGCTGATCTTCCTCAAAAAAAATAAATAAATACAATAAATAAATAAAAAAGGAAGAGCCAGTGCTCTTTATGTACTGACATGGAAAAATCTCCAAGACATATATATATATGTATATTTGTGTGTGTGTGTGTGTGTATGTGTGAGGAAGATCAGCCCTGAGCTAACATCCATGCCAATCCTCCTCTTTTTTGCTGAGGAAGACTGGCCCTGGGCTAACATCTGTGCCCATCTTCCTCCACTTTATATGGCACGCCGCCACAGCATGGCCTGACAAGCAGTGCGTCAGTGCGTGCTCGGGATCCGAACCCAGGCTGCCAGCAGCGGAGTGCACACAGTTAACCACTACACCACGGGGCTGACCCCTCCAAGATATATTTTTAAGGAAAAAAACCAATGGGCAAAATGTTTCATAAGCTAATATTTGTATAAAAAAAGAAAGAAAAAAGAATAAATACATTTAATATGCACAAAACGTCTTTGCAAAGATACACAAGACCGTGATGATTGTATGAAGGGAGAGGAGGCACTGAATGGTTGGGACACAAGGGTGGGAGGCAGACTTTCACCTTTTGTACGTTTTGAACTTTGACTCTATTCTAAATTATTTTTTCTTAATTAAGAGAAATAATAAACTGGCTACAGACACAGGACAGGTCATAAAAACCAAGCTAAAGAGCATCATAAAGGATGTTCCACCCAAAGCAGAGGAACCAGGTAACTGGAGTCTTCAAATGCTTTGGACAGAATGTTAAAGTAGAAATAAAGATGGGGCTGGCCCAGTGGCGTAGTAGTTTAGTTCGTGCACTCTGCTTCAACAGCGCGGGCTTTGCTGGTTCGAATCCCAGGCACCGACCTACACACTGCTCATCAAGCCATGCTGTAGCAGTATCCCACGTACAAAATAGAGGAAGACTGGCATGGATGTTAGCTCGGGGCCAATCTTCCTCACCAAAAAAAAGAAGGAAAGAAAGAAAGAAAGAAGTGCTGCATCAGATTAAGAGCTGAACATTCCCTTCTCCCTACAGAGGGACCATGACTCCAGCTACCTTCTTCTAAAATAGTGTTTGAGTGCCTTTTTCTGTGTTGGCCTCAGAAATGCCTCTGATCTTCTGCAAACTCACAGGGTCAGATAGCTTTACAAGTGAGAAGAAAGAGATGAAATGCCAGAGCAAGCCAGTAGATGTAAATACCAACCCAAGCAACAAAGGCTTCTAAGGGGATCTGCTCTGTGGTTTTGGTCTTTTTCAATTTTGTGACTAGGAAAATTGGCAGCTTAACGGATTGAGGCCCCTAAGCCTCAAACAGTCATTCCACCCAAAAGCTGGGCCCAGAGAAGAATCTCTCCCTCCTTCCTCATTCACTGTGGAGCCACCCCAGGAGAACTAATATCCTGAGAGTCACACAAGCTGAAGATGCAGCCATTCATACCCGGTCAATGTGTGTGACATTCCGGATCCCAAAGGCAATGGTATAAACATCAAACTTGTCATCGTCAAAGGGCAGTTCTTCAGCATCTCCCAATACCCAAGCAAGTCCTGAAAGAGAAAATCAGTTCTGGTCTCAGTCTGAGTAGCTGTCTCTTCTGTACCCAGCAAATTGTCAAACCAGAGGAGGGGGTTGTGGGAACTCCCAAATTTGCAGTCAGCCAGGCAGAAGTGTGAGCAGCCTGGACACCCCATCTGCAGCTGGCTTCTGAAGTCTTGTGGCACTGAGCCCTCAAACCTGTGGAATCTGAGGCTAACTCCAGGTAGTTAGTATGAGAATTGAATGGACTTGCTGGACACCTCATTGGTGTGGGAGAATTGGAGAACTGTTTGGTGCTGGGCAAATACCATACATGTGGTATCAGAAAACATCACACGCTTGCCTTATCCATTGGATTCCTGGCCACTGTCTTCACGGTGTCCTCCAGTCCTGAGAACCTGAAGCTGGTGTCCTTGAAGTTTAGCAGGAAGTTGTTCCCCCAAGGCTCTCAGAGTAGAACTTGCTGCATACTTAGTTATGTCTACCTTCAAACAATTTTTATCCAACTAAGTGTTTTGTGTAGAGCACTATGGTTAAGAGCCCAGGTCCTGGGGTTAGACTGTCTAGATTCTAACTCCAGCTTTACCATTTATTAGCTCTATAATCTTGAATAAACTACTTTGTCTCAGTTTCCTCATCTGTAAAATGGAGTTAATAATAGTACCTACTTCAGAGGATCATTGGAAGTATTCTAAGTACAGAATTTAGCATAGTTATATTGATTCTACTGGAGTCACAGAGAAAGTCTAGACCCCAAGTCTGGTCATGAATTCAGAAAACACCCAAGGGAGCCCCCCATTAGGATGACTGTGTTCTCTAAGGATCCTGATTTGGCTTTAACATTAGTCAACTTGCAGTGAATGAGACATAAAATATGATATAGAGGGAAGGCTCTATAGAGGAAAGTAAATGAAAATAACCTTCCTGGAAAGCAAACTAGCAGTATTTAACAAGAGCTTTAAAAATAAGCATACCGGGCCGGCCCTGTGGCTTAGCGGTTAAGCGCGCGCGCTCCGCTGCTGGCGGCCCGGGTTCGGATCCCGGGCACGCACCAAGGCACTGCTTCTCCAGCCATGCTGAGGCTGCGTCCCACATACAGCAACGAGAAGGACGTGCAGCTATGACATACAACTATCTACTGGGGATATGGGGGAAAAGAAAATAAATAAATAAAATTAAAAAAAATAAAAAAATAAAAATAAGCATACCCTTTGACCTAGCTATTTGATTTTTGGGAGGAGGACGTTGATGACATCATCATAGCTACTGCTTACTGAGCCCTTGATGGCAGGGTTTGTGTTATCACTTTACATACATTATATTATCACATCCTCATACCAACTCCATGAGACAGCTGTTATTATGATCCTCATGTTTCAGGTGAGCAAAGTTGAGTATCAGAAAGGTTAAAGTAGCTTGCCCAAGGTCACACCGATGGATTGGAATTCAGGTAGTTTTATTCCAGAGCCTGTGTTTTTAACAGCTATGCTACCTCCTACTAAAAGGTGGTTATTATTTTCTCCATTTTATAGATAAGGTAATTGAGCTCCAGAGAGTTTAAACCCTTGTCCAAGGTTATATTGTTAGTAAAAAAATGTAACGAATGCATGCAAAAAATTTATAAATAAGACATTTTTCTTTTTTTAAACTTTATTTATTTTTCCCCCCAAAGCCCCAGTAGATAGTTGTATGTCATAGTTGCACATCCTTCTAGTTGCTGTATGTGGGACTCTGCCTCAGCATGGCCAGAGAAGCAGTGCATTGGTGCACGCCCAGGATCTGAACCTGGGCTGCCAGCAGCGGAGTGCGCGCACTTAACTGCTAAGCCACGGGGCCGGCCCAAAATTTATAAATAAAGATGAACAATGTGCTATATGCCAAAACATTAGGAAAAAATGAAAGGTCAATTGTTTATTGGTTATGTAAAATGGTTATGTGACTCATGAAACATGCATATGGGGGAATATCATAAAAAATAATGATTTTAAGGAACTTTTAATGACATGGGAAAATCTCATGATACAATGCTGAATTAAGGCAGGATACTATATTGTATATACAAGATGTTCTCTCTCTCTCTCTCTTTTTTTTTTTTTTTGCTGAGGAAGATTAGCCCTGAGCTAACATCTGTTGCCAATCTTCCTCATTTTTTGCTTGAGAAAGATTAGCCCTGAGCTAACATCTGTGTCAGTCTTCCTCTACTTTATATGTGGGTCGCTGCCACAGCATGGCTGACAAGTGGTATAGGTCTGCACCTGGGATCTGAACCTGTGAACCTGGGCCGCCAAAGTGGAAGGCACCAAACTTAACTATGATGCCACAGGGCCAGCCCCGATGTTCTCAATTTTATAAAAAGGAAATGATTAGGAAAAAGATAGGAAGGAAATATATTAAAATACTGAAGGGCATCTCTGGATGTTGAAATTATGGGTAACATTTACTTTCTTCTCAATACTTGTCCAAAATTTTGAATTTAGAAATCCAAAATTTCTCTCAAAGATATCACTTTTATAACCCATCAAATAATCTTTCTAAGGCTGCTGCCCTCAGAACTTCCATTTGGGGAGGAAGTGCTACACATAAAACATAAATAAAACACATAACAGTGCTACACAAAAAAACGCCTTTACACAGTAACTTTTACATTTATTAAATAATTTCTAAGATCCTCCTACTTAGTTTCAACTTTTTCTGCATGACATTTTTTGCAAAGCCATTATTATTGGAGATCAATAAAGCAAGGAGGAAAGATAATGAAAACTGTTCTATGCAGTACGTAATGATTCCTATGCAGGGGGATTTGTCTTGGCAGTTAGGAGAGCTTGAGGAGCAAACTATGCTATGGGAGAGATGACTCCAGAAACGGAACCTTACCTATCATTTCTGTCTTTGGTCTCCCTTCTCTATGCCTGAGCACCAGAGAGAAGGGAAACACGTTTTTCAGTAGGAGTAAGGAAACATAGTGCCTTTGTTTAAAAACACTAGTGACTGTCTGCCTTCTGATCAGTGCTGATGGTTAACAAAAGAGTCCTTCATCTTGGGGGCCAAGTGGGCTTCGGCTCATCTAGGCAGCTTGTTCTGGCGGTGGGAGGAGGAGGAGGAAGAAGAATTGAGCTAAAATAACCATGGGCACTCCTGGTGGGGGAAGGGGAGGAGAGAAATGCTGATGTTGACCTGAGGGACTTGATTTTCTTTGTTGTATACTACTGCCTCTCACAGCGGCTGCCTGCAGTGCATGGCCAGATTGGAAGAGGGCAGTGCCGGGCCGGCCCCGTGGCTTAGCGGTTAAGTGCGCGCGCTCTGCTGCTGGCGGCCCGGGTTCGGATCCTGGGCGCGCACCGATGCACTGCTTCTCCAGCCATGCTGAGGCCGCGTCCCACATACAGCAACTAGAAGGATGTGCAGCTATGACATACAACTATCTACTGGGGCTTTGGGGGAAAAATAAAAAATAAATAAAAAATAAAAATTATTAAAAAAAAAAAAAAAAAAGGAAGAGGGCAGTGCAGTGGCTCTGAAAAGCTGGGTAAACGTGGTGCGGCTGCCAGATCACAACTTCTACTTGAAAAACTTGAGGGGCAAAGTGTTTCAGAATATTAAAAGAAACAGAAAGCCAAATGTAAAATGTACATCTTTAAGCTAAGGCACAAATTGTCCACTCTGAGGTTGTAGTGTGTTCCTAGAGACATGCAGTCACTCTCCTATCTGCTGTTGCGAGTACTGTGGGAAGAAAGCTTGAGGAGTACTGTTTACAGGTGTTTCTTCAACTGTATCAGTTGGGCCCCCTGAGAAACAGATGCTGAGATGTAGGTAGGAGTGCAAAAGGTTTTTTTTTTAGAGGGAGATACCTGGGAAAGATAAAAGGAAGAGGAAGCAAGATTGAGTGGGGAAAGCCTTTAGACCTTGATGCAGATCTGATAAAGCCTCAGCTTACCCAACAGGGAGCTCTGGAGCAAAGACTGCCTATTAAGAGTCCCATGTGGGAGGCCGGCCCGGTGGCGCAGTGGTTAAGTTCTCACCTTCCGCTTCGGCAGTCTGGGGTTGGCAGGTTCGGATCCCAGTGCAGACCCACTCACTGCTCATCAAGCCATGCTGAAGTGGCATCCCACATAGAAGAGCTACAACTATGTTACACAACCATGTACTGGGGCTTTGAGGAGAAAAAAAAAAGAGGAAGACTGGCTAATGCAACAGATGTTAGCACAGGGCCAATCTTCCTCAAAAAAACCAAAACAAACACAAGAGTCCCATGTAGGAAATGTCTGGGGCCTACTAGCCCTCTAGTGCTCAGTCATCTGCTGGGTGCTGCCAGGAAAGAGCCTGCCTCAAAAGCTGAGGCAGAGCCTTAAGGGAGCTGGAGGCTGTCAGCTAACTGAACTTGTGGCTGAAAAGCAAGTTCTTTCTTTAAGGGCAGTTTCACATCAATCAGTCCATTCTAGTAGTGAAAGGCGAATGGAATGGCTCAAGAATAGGACATCCGGGTCATTGAGGAGTTGCTGGGAATTGAAAGCAAAACTTCTGTCTCAGGGTCCAAGAGCTGAGATCTGAAGATTCAGCTCCAATTTGGGATATGCCATTTAAACTGTGTTACTGGGGCCAGCCCCATGGCATGGTGGTAGAGTTTGGCGTGTTCCACTTCAGTGGCCTGGGTCCGCAGGTTTGGATCCTGGGCACGGACCTACACCACTTGTCAGCCATGCTGTGGTGGCGACCCACATATAAAGTAGAGGCAGACTGGCACAGATGTTAGCTCAAGGCTAGTCTTCCTCAAGCAAAAAAAAAAAGGAAGATTGGCAACAGATGTTACTCAGGGCGAATCTTCCTCAGCAAAAAAAAAAAAAAAAAAAGCTCTGTTACTTGAGTAACATACTTAAGCTCTTTGGGCTTTGGTTATCCTCCCTGTCACACAAGGCTGATAATCTAACTCCCTGGGTTGCTGAAATAATGTATATAACAGCACACAAACTGGACTCAGCCACACAAATTATCTTCAACTCCTGCCTATCTATAAGTTTTTGAAAGCTGGAAAATAAAGCACTTCAACATTTTACATATTCCATCTTATTTTATAAACATACATACATTTCCTCCATGTCTCCTTTCTGTAGGACTTACCAGCTTTGTATCCTTGAGCACGGGCTTTCTGCTTTCCAATCTTGAGCATCTCCTTGTTGATGTCACAGACCATGACACGGGAACCGCCCAGGGAATCCTCTTCATTCCGGTACTTTTTGGCAATTTCTTCCCAGGATAAATTTTGTTGGGCCCTTAACTGCCTCTTCTGCTTTCCCTGATGCTGTGCCTGAACATAATTAAGGAACCGGAATGCAATGTCACCTGTGAGGAGCCAACAGGAGGAAAGATGCAAACACAAACAAAAAAAAAACAGCATCTCCTAAACCCAAAAGGAGCAACAAAGGTACAAGAGTTGAGGAGTATATGAAAATTGAAGTTTGTACTCACCTCTACAGTAACTTTTTTTTAACAGTAATTTTTTAACCTTTAAGATTCTTTAAAAAACCTTTTTTAAAAATTGCATAAATAATGCATGGACACATTCTTACTATAAAAGACTCAATGTCTAAATATATAAAATAAAACATGAAAGTTGCATTCTCTGTCCATGCCCTCTCTAGACATAACAAGTGTTAAGAGCTTAGTGTGCAGCTTTCTAATCTTTTCTAATAATTTTTATGAAAATGACATAAGGGTATAGTTACCAGCAACAATCCCTGCCCCACCACTTCCCACTGCCAGTTCAATTCCTCAGAGACCATCTTTCCCAACTCTTTTAGCTGTTTCTTCTGCTGGTTACAGTTATTTCTTTGCTTACAAATTTATAATGATATCCTGTACCCCCATCTCCTTATAGATACCTGTGTAACCTAGAGTAACAAACTAATCAGTATTTTCTTATTCTGTCAATTACAGACAGTATCTCTTGACTCCCTTCAACCTTCCATCATTTGTACTTCTACTCTGTCATGACTGATAAATGTTATTTCTTCTATTGCTATAATTAAGTGTTCTGTGCTTTGTTGATGGTTTGAGTCTAAAAGCTGAAAATCAAAAGTGTTTACATTATTGTGACCAGGAAAATACTGTTTGAGTAAAGCCAGTGTCTTCCAGAATCATGTTTCCTTTCTTATAATGCTGTTTCTTGGCTTTTGTTTTTCTTACACTATTGGCAAGAAATACATCCTTAAGTTTTTCCAGTCTCTCCATCCAATTCAGTATTCTCCAGTCACTTTTCTGTATATTTAAATGCATTTATATGTACGCATATGAAACAACTTAAAAACATAAACGGGAATCATATTATACACAGTTATATAACTTGTTTTCTTTTTATTCCCATTTAATATGTCTTTGAGACCTTTCCATCAGTATTTATAGGTTTTCCTCATTCTTTTAAATAGTGACATAATAGTTCATAGAATAGATATATCTTAATTTAAAGCGATCTTTATTGAAGCAGAAATAGGTTATTTCCAATTTTTCACTATTACTAAAAAGGATGCAGTGAGCATATTTGTAGCTATGTCTTTTTTTTTTTTTTTTGGTGAGGAAGATTAGCCCTGGGCTAACATCCAGTGCCAATCCTCCTCTTTTTGCTGAGGAACATTGGCTCTGGGCTAACATCCATGCCCATCTTCCTCTACTTTATATGGGACGCCGCCACAGCATGGCTTGACAAGCGGTGCATTGGTGCAAGCCCGGGATCTGAACCTGTGAACCCTGGGCTGCCAAAGCAGAGCATGCACACTTAACTGCTGCACCACCGAGCTGGCCCCTAACTGAATCCCTTCTGTAGCTATATCTTTGTGCAAGCTTTCTTTTAAATTTATTTTTTATTTCTTTAATTAATTTATATTTTTACTGAGGAAGATTGACCCTGAGCTAACATCTGCTGCCAATCTTCCTGTTTTTTTTTTTTTTGCTTGAGGAAGATTAGCCCTGAGCTAACATGTGTGCCAATCTTCCTCTGCTTTGTATGTGGGTCACCGCCACGGCATGGCTGATGAGTGGTGTAGGTCCACACCCAGGATCCGAACCTAAGAACCTGGGCCGCCGAAGCAGAGCACGCCGAACTTAATCACTCAACCACAGGGCTGGCCCCTGTGTAAGCTTTGTTTAAGACTAGATATCTAGAATTGGAATTGTGGGATCCTAGACTATAACATTTTACATTTTGATAGATTCTGCTAAACTGTCCTCCACTGAGCAAGGTGTCTTATTGCTTTCTGAGCCTCCATTTGGGGAGGGGACCACACCAACAAAGCCACACATAAAATGTTTCAAACATGGAAATTATTCTACTGTAATTTATTAGTATACATTATTCTATTATATAGATTATCACATTATTTCATTATGTTATACGTTATTCTAATGTAATTTAACATGTACATTAACCATGTAATGATGTCACCAAGGTGTATTTTAGAAGCCCCTGATATTTTTCTCTCCAAATGCCTGGTATGCACCAAGTAACAAAGGACCATGTATAAACAACTGAGCTTTTGATATCTGATGTGATAGTGGATTAGGGAGAAAAGGCTGCCTAGAAAGTTTATATAATATGATAAAAGGCACCCGCCCAAAGAAAAAGGGAAAGTGGGTTAAAGGTTAAACAGAAGGTAAAACAGTCAGTTAGATGGTAAAATGCCACTGGAGTAAAAAACTAGTCTTTTTACTTTGTAATCCTGTGCATTTTAGAAAAGTGACAGGCATAAAGCTGATATTCTGTGCTTCTGATTGACATTCAGTTAACAAGAAAAGAGTAAACTTTTCTTAAAAGTATATTGACTTTCAATCACTATCTTCATCTTAATGGTACGTGAGCAAGCACATTCCAATAAGAGACACTAATTTCTGTAAAAGGCGCTCAGTGGTTCCTGAGGATACTAAACTGGACATTACCTGTGCCTCCAGCAACATCCAGCAGCTGGGTCCCAGGAAACGGGCGCATCTTCCAGAGCAGCAAATCCTTCCAAATACGATGGATACCAAGACTCATCATATCATTCATCACATCATACTTCTTGGCCACACTTTCAAACACCTGATAGACTGACACGGGAGAAATACAACACAATTGTGCCATTAACAAGATTAACTTGGAAAAGTCCTAAATGAAAGAGGAGGAAGGTTTCCTCCCCTGAAATTGCCTGTCTTTGCAAGATTAAGCTAAGCTATAATGCCCATCCCAAATCTACATCTTAACATTACCTCTTTTTAAAAACGCTTAAATTACTTCATGTAAGAAATCAACCTCTTTTCTGATGTCTTAGTTATCTTTATCTAGGACCACTACCTCATAATAATGCCATGCACATACTTGGTACTAAATAGGTTTCTGCTTCGTAGAGGATGGGGGTGGTAGTGGAATTTTCCTAATGGTTATTATAATCAAAGACAACAAAATCCATTAAAAAGACACATGACTAATGGATAGCAAGGTCTCAGCTCATCTCTGCCTGCACCACTGAGAAAAACCTCAGGTACAACATGGTGGGCAGATTAATGGCAAGATGTGAATCAGGGCCAAGTTACACTGTAGAGGGTCCTCATGAATCTTCTCCATACGATCAAGGCAGAATGTGGAATCTAGCTGGAGAGAGAAGAAATTTACTCTCCAAGACACTTCAAAGCACAGGCTTCATTTAATATCTTTGCATCTCAGTTTGTCTAACCATAAGATGAGAAAATCAGTGCCAGCCCCCTACCTCCCTGCCATAAGGCTGAATTAGGTCATGAAAGGGAGAATGCTTTGAGTTCCTCAGGTGAAATGTGCTGCATAGATCCAAAACATTACTGTCCTCTGCTGAATCAGCAGACTATAGAGCTCCTCCTTTAACTCAATCTTGACTGTCCAGTCTCAACCCTGGGATCTCCAAGCTTGCTTTTTCCTTTTGAACATCTTTTGGGTATTGAGGGACACTAACGCTCAACCCACTGACTGTAAGCGCTCCTTGCTTTGCATGGTTCAGGTATGCATGAATTTCAGTTACTGTAGTTTAGTTAAATAACACCAGTCTCCCAGCAACATCATTCAAATACAATGGTATATTAACTGTGAGTAATTGCATAAAGTTCTAACTTCATTAGTAGTTTTTCAGTCCACAAATCACTATGTAAATAACAAATATGCATCATGATCAGTAATGAGTCATGTCACTTCTTTCAGTTTGTATCTGGCAGGTCACTATATATCAGTTATTCAGGTCACACACAGACAGCAAAGCATGCAATTGTGTTACCTCCTTATCTCTCAGTTGTAAACCCACGAGGCATTTTACAAAACTGGATAATTGAAAGAGGAAACTGGCTAATGAAAATGAAAGTGTAGCAAAGGAGTGAAAAGTGATAATGCTGGAAGTGAAATTTGAATAGAATGTCAATAGAGTTAGAGAAACAGCTGACCGTGAGAATGTTGATGCTGCTGCCACTGGAGAGACTCTACGTTTGCAGCCAGAAGAACTTTGGGAAGATGAACTGATGGACATAAACGAGGATGTGGTTGTGAAAAAATGGTTGAAGATGTCCCAGAGGAAATGATGCCAACAAAAACATTTCACATTAAAGGAATTCTTGGTGATATTTCACAACATTGAAAGTGAAAGGGTAAAATGTTAGAAGCTGATTGAAACTTAGGATTATGGCAATTTGTCAAGGCATGGACAAGATGCTCACTCCCTATTGTAAATTATATGATGAGAAGGTAGCAAACACTGTTCAAACTAGTCTTGGTAAAATTTTTTACAAAGGGATAAAACAACTTAATTCCCAATGTTTCTAACTTTTTAATTAGAATTTTAGTTTAATTAAAACTTTCAAGTTAAACTTAAAAATTTTAATTACATTAAATTAAAATTAAACCTAATTTAAAACTACAGTGTGCTAAATAAATACTAACTTTACTAGTTTTTTCATTTCCCCATACATTATAACTGACAGTAAGAGAGTTTTTCATGTTCGATTATTTTTAAAGGTCGTGGAACAATTGCAGTTTTTCCCATTGATTATTAAAATCATTGTGCATAATTTCAGCTTGCACGTGTGCAAAGGGAAGACTGCTTGTACTTCGATCTTGGGTCCCAATCTGGAAGCTATATTTAGCTCAGGGCATAACTCCTTCCAAGTGAAATGTTGTCTACACATTGTAAAGCAGAATACACAGGTCAGGCATTATTATTATTTTGGAAGCAACCCACCTGGATTCAAATCCCAGCTCTGCTATTTATTAGCAAAATCTTGGGCAAGTGACTTAATATCTGTTTCAACAGTTTCTTCACTTATAAAACCAGGTTACTAGTTCCTACCTCATAGGATTGTATTTATAAAAATTAATGTAAAGTATTTAAAAAGGTTTCAGGCTCTTAATAAACATTTACTATGTTTTTACCTGGCTCTACTTATTTCACTCCACACGCAGTTATCAAGCTCCTAATGTGCATCAGGGACTGAAGATATAGACATAAATGAGCTACTGTCCTAGCTTGCTGGGGATTCATACTCCAGTGAAATAAATGTTAAATTCAATATTCAAAGAATTACAGTAGAGCTATGTATTTAGTAAGGCTGAAGTGAGAGGTAACACAAAGTGTAGTAGTCTTTCTTTCCCTCTTAGATGGGAAATTCCATTGCGGGGTCTTTCTCTCATTTCCTGGGTGGCCATAGGCTAAGTGAAGGAACCTCTTAGAGCCTCACCTTATCCATCTGTAAAACGCGCATAATATCTTTTCCGTTGTAAATGGTACAGTTGGAGTTTTAAAACAGTTCTTTTCCTTTCCCATGCCTGTGGCACAGTGCTGCACACAAAGATACTGCTCAAAAACATCTAACACTCACTGAGTAAATATGAAGTGCCAGGCATTGTTCAAAATGCTTTAATGTATGAAGTAATGTATGAAGTAACCTAATACTCATAACAACTCTAAGAGAAAGGTCACTATTATTCCTACTTGTAAAATTTGGAAGCTGAGGCACAGAGAAGATAACTTTCTTTTTCCTTTCTATAAACAATGGCCTATCCTTTCAAGAGGTTAAGAACGTGCGCTCTGTAGTCAGACCAAACTGGGTTGGAATACTGGTTCCGCCGCTTACTAGCCATATTAAATTGGGCAAGTTCTTGCTTAACCTTCAAGTCTCAATTTCCTCATGTGCAACACGCGGATAACAATACCCACCATCGGGAAGTTGAAATGAGAACTGGAAATAATGTCTGCACGGTGTCTGGCTCATCATAAACGCCCAAGTGATGAGATTTAGTGATAATTACTCTGCTTAAAAGAGGAGGCGTCTAAGCTCTGCGGAGTCAGGCTACTGGTACTCCTTGGAGATAAGGACCTGCACAGGCTACGGCATCGGAGCTAACAGGACGTTAAATCAACCCTTAGTTGGGCAGAAGAAACTAGATCGCAGACGGTCAGATCCCTCCATCCGCCCTCTCGCCCCTTTCACCTTTGCCCCCCTTCTCCTCCTCCGACACAGTCTCAAACCCGAAATGAGTTTCCGTTGCCCGCTTCTCTTGGGACAAGTGCCGCGCACCCAGCGGGCCCCCGGGCCAGGAGCTACGAAGCCCGGGGAGCCGGCAGTACCGCATCACCCGCGACCACCCGTGACCGTAGTAGCTCCACAAAACGAAGCTGCTGGGGGCCGCCATCTTGGCAGTCGGGTGACAGCGACCCGACAGTACGTCGTATTGCATCACTAGACGGCCGACGGCAGCCAGTAGGAGACATTATTAGTCGAACGCTTCTTGGACCCTGATATTAAGGAGTTATGCGTGATCTCTGGGATCCGCAGGCTATTTAGTCTTGGAATACTACCCGAAATCCCTTCTTCTCTCTCTTCCGAAATTGAATATAGAATTCACCAGGAATGAGCTGACCTTAGAGAGAGGCTCACCCCTCAGCGGCCAGGTCTCTGAATCTTGCCAACCAGTTAGTACGAGTACTAACTCGCAAGATATCGAGTAACTCTTGTTTTCTGGTGCAGAAGGGGGAAATTGAGGTACTGTGTGGTTGCAAGGCAAAGATTACAGGGTCAGTTCTCGCAAACTTTGGTGTGTATAAGAATCACCTGGTTTGATCTTTAAATTGCAGATTCGTGGCCCCCAATACCAGAGATTTTGAATCAGTAAATCTGGTATGGGTACTGGGAATCTTTATTTGAACAAACTTCCCTGGTGATTCTAATGCAAGGAATTCGCAGACCATTCTTGAGAAACATATGCTAGACTACTCTAAAAAATAAATATGGGAAAGGCTGTTCTTTGTTCTTTCCACTTTATAAACCTAGGAAGTTCATAAATGGGAAAGAAAGCTGTGGTATCTATTTAGCAAGTCAGAACCAATCACCACTCACCTTCCCTCTCCTGCTGTCACAAAGCTACATTTCTAGTTCCAACTGGCATAGCACGGGTGTTATACTTCAACCCCAGATTTTCCCGTTCTTTTTTTATGGAAAGGATAATGTAGACCATCTTGCACAAAAGAGGATGGAGGTGGTAAGTTTTGCTTGGATTTCTGTATGTTTCTGCTTTGATTCTCTTTAAATGTATGTTTCCTGAAAATATTTCACAAGGAGAAAGTGCCAAGGACCCTACGAAACTATTTTGAAAACGAAAAATCTCTTTCTGGCTTAGTGTAGCCTGACAGATGGATAGCTACCGCTCTCTTTTGGAAGCAGTGCGCTGGGATTTCTCTCTTTTATTTTTAAGAGTGATAGGAGGAAGGAATGATTCATCCACGTAATCAGAGTTCTCACATCTTTGTTAAAGGAAATGGAAGTTCGTTAAGGAATCTTAGTATATCTTCTACATCTAGTTATACATTAAAATGGACCTCAGGATTTGGAGCTATTCCTTCTAGACATCAAATTAAGTTTCCAGACCAGCGTTATGTAGCTATTCTCTCATTTCAGTATGATTTGTGGGGGGAAAAAAAACTGGAAAAGGGGAAGCAACATAAGGACTGGTGGAGGGCATTTTAAGGAAATTTAAAAATATGAGACTAGGATCTAATTTCCCTTATCCCAGTTAAAACTGTTAATTTCAAGAAATTGATTGGCTTATATATACTTATTAATGTTTTGTATACATGTGATGATTAATAAGGAACAAAAAAGGGCCCAATTAGGGGAATTCTAGGATTTTGTCTATTTATTTATTTGTTCATAAATGACTGCTAAAATACCACTCATCCTTCTATGCTCAGCTCAAGTGATACCACCTCTGGGAAGCCCTCCTCTACCTCTCCCAACTGTTTGTACTTCTCTCCTCAGAGATCTGCTCTGGTCAGCATTTTGTGTTAACTTTATTATAGTCCTTATCATGTTCTTTCATTGTAGATTCTTATTTGCTTAACTAATTTAGGAAACTATGAGTATATTAAAGGCCTCAATGTGTCTTGGCATTCCTTGTGCGCAGCACAGTGTCTGGCATATAATAGGTTTCTTACTAGCTACGTTAGTCTGAGAATTATTTGTTCACCTCTTTAACAGTATGTAACATGTGATCCTTCGAATCTCAAACTGCTATGGTTGGAAGGAATCATTTATAATTTCCCAAGTACAGATGGATGTGATATGATTTCTAAAATACATATCTGGGGGCTGGCCCCTGGTGTAGTGGTTAAAGTTTGGCATGCTCTGCTTCTGCGGCCTGGGTTTGCCATTGGGGTCCCAGGCGCCGACCTACACCACTCATCAGCCATGCTGTGGCAGAGACCCACATACAAAATAGAGGAAGATTGGCATGGATGTTAGCTCAGGGCTAATCTTCCTCAAGCAAAAAAAGAAGATGACTGGCAACAGATGTTAGCTCAGGGCCAGTCTTCCTCAGCAATAAATAAATAAATAAATAAATAAATAAATAAATAGATAAATAGATAAATAAATAAATAAAATATATGTGATTTCCTAAGTCTCAGTGTCCATGTAAGTGTCCAGTAGGTCTTATCTCCTAGGTAGTTGAGAACATCCCTTATTAGCTATGTGATGGTGGGTAAATGATCTAAGCTTTTTGAGTCAATTTCCTCGTCTTTAAACTTGAGTTATTGTGAGGATTAAGTGTGATAATCCATATAAACTGTACAGCACAGTGCCTGTTAATGATAAGCACTCAATGATAACTATTATTAGCAATGAAATGAAATATTAACAATGATTTACATTAATAAATGACTTATTAACAATGAAATTAAGTATTGTATGAGGGAATGCTATAAAGTGATATTAAACGTAAGGTATTGCCATTGTTGCCATTATTGTTATTATTATTAGGACATAGAATAAAAGCCATAAATAAATTGTTATTAATACTAGAACAAGAACTATAACTTAAACAATGAGTCAATAAAGAAATTCCACAGATATTCCGATGTTTGGATGCATTATTATTAGTAGTATATATTATTATTATACGTATTGTTAGTGTACTAAAATTAAAACCTGGACTACAAGTCCCACCATGCTTTACGTCCTCTCGCATATGGTGGGGGGGGGCATCGGACCCGGATGTAGGCAGAAAACTACATTTCCCAGAGTGCGTCACTCTCACTTCTCCTCTATATATAGTCCATCCGGGTTCTTCGAGATGCTGTTTGGCGACTCGTCGCCATTCCCAGAGCAGCTCGGCCTCGGCCTAGAGGCGAGTGTCTGTCGCTGTGTCGGAGACACTGGTCCCCGACACCAAAACAGTTAGCCCTCTCCCCTGCCCCGCGGCGGGAGAGCGTGTCCGGCCGGCCGGCGGGGCTCGCGCACCCTCTCTCGCCTCCCCTTCCCCCGCAGCCTCCGCCCCGCCAGGCCCGGCCCGGACCTCCGAGCCCCGGCCTCCTCCTTCTTCTCGGTCACTGCCGCCGCCGGGCTCGACAGCCCCGCCAGCCGCTTCTCCTCCCAGTTTGAGAAGCCGAGGAAGGAAACAGGGAAAAATGTCGCCATGAAGGCCGAGAACCGCTGCCGCCGCCGACCCCCGCCGGCCCCGAACGCCATGAGCCTGGGTCCCCGCCGCGCCCGCTCCGCTCCGACCGCCGCCGCCTCCGAGGCCCCCGTTGATGCCGCAGAGCTCCCCCAACGCCGCCGCCACCGCCTCCGACATGGACAAGAACAGCGGCTCCAGCAGCTCCTCCGCCTCTTCGGGCAGCAGCAAAGGGCAACAGCCGCCCCGCTCCGCCTCGGCGGGGCCGGTCGGCGAGTCTAAACCCAAGAGTGGTAAGGGCGGGCTCCCAGGGCGGAGGGCGGGCGTCCGACTGCCTCTAAGGCTGGGGAGGGTCCTCTCTCTGGTGTCTGCTGGGTCCCCCAGGGACAAGCTCTGCTTTTTCCTACGGTTCCTACCTTTCTCTCCTTGTCCGTGGGTCCCATTATTCCCAGTTAACGCTTAGGGAGTACTGTACTGCGTTGTTTACGCGCATCCTTGCATTAATAAAGATAAGGTTTCCCAGCTAGTATGTGCCTCACGGCAGGCCTTAAGACCTCTTTTGTCTGACTCATTAGGCCACGCTCCTAAAACCACTAGGTTTTTCTGCCCTTTAATGTTGAATTAGCGCTGGATGGTGTTCAAGTTTAAACAGAGGAGGGTGGGGCCCAGGGACTTTTCAAACTCGAGTCTCTTTTAATAGCGTGGTCCCAGATCCATCCCTCTGTTGAAGAGGACTCGTCCTTGAATGGCTTTGTTAAGTGCGGAGTAGTGGTTAAGAGCACAGTGTCTGAATTCAGTCTTTTCAGATTTGCCAAACCTCGAGTGCCTGAGTTTCCTTACCTGTAAAGGGGGAGATAATGAGAATTACATAAATTCACTTATAAAACAAATGAACTAAGGGCTTAGGAGAGTACTTGACACCTGTTATGCACCAGGTACACATCATGCCTATTTCCATGTGTTGGGCTGAAGTAATGTCCTTGTAGGGGGAAGATTTTGTCATTTTTGTAGTCATGCCATGTTAAGTTATGACGATCATGATGATAACAGCTACCATTTATTGAGGGCTTACCATGTCCATGTACTGGGCTAGGCTTTTATTTCTGTTACCGATACTCCAGTCACTAACCTGTCCAGCAAGGTGGATTGTTCATCTAAAGAAGGAAAAAACCTGAGAGACCAGGAGTTTAGGACTTGGCAGAGTCTGGAGTTGAATGGTCTCCATCTTACTTCAAAGATCTCATACTCATCTTTGCTCTTTTATATTATGGTTGTGTTAGCAGTAATAGGAACATGTTTTTGGTGGGAGTGGGGATGTGTGGCAGAGAGGGGAACATTTGGAGTCCCCAGATGTGGAGGTCCAGTCGTTTAAAACTTTTTTAGGATTAAAAAACTGTAAGGCTGACTTAAAAACAAAAAGAAAAAAACACTGTAAGGCTGACTTGAGTTCAGAGTTTCCCGGCTGGATATAGCCAACTTGTTTACCTGGTGTGCAGAGGACTTCTAGGGATTGCTTATGGAACTCGGGTGGAGACCAGTTGTCTCGATAATAAACGAATGCTTTAAATATCTGAGCAGGGATTAGTGTGGACTCTCAGGCCACATGAGGCAGTATTATGTAGACTAATTTTGGGCTTTTGCACACATGTAGCTTTATCACAGATCCCTCTAGAGATACAGGGTAGCCAGTGCTGACCAGTGTTGGAACTGGTTTAGAGTGGTCTGAATATTTCTCAGTGTAGTTGATAAATAACTT